CCCAGGCACACGCTCGTAAAATTTTATATCCAATTTTACGATTTCTGACGCAAAAAGTGAAACTAACCATTTCGACATTAGACATGAACACATCTCGGCCATGGGTCGCCGCTGGGCCGTCAGCAATGCTGACAGCAGAGACGGCTGAGAGCAGGACGGCGCTTCTATTGGACTTGCTCGGGCGTCAACGAGCGAACAAATGTCAAGGATGCTGTGCATATTTTTTTTCGTCACATTTTTCCGTTTCTTTTTTTTTTGCCTTGCTTTGTTTTTCGATTTTGGTGATGACAGCCAGAGCGACATTAAATGCCCCGCTTCAGTTGTGTTTGTGCCTCTGCGGGGAAGCCAAGTGCCTCGTCTGCCTGACCATTGCCAGCTGGCCATTGGCATTCGCCTCATATTGATGGTCATGGCGCCACGGCCCGGAAAAAGTTGCCCCTAACAACAGCAACACCAACAGCACTGTTCAAGCGAGAGCTGCTTGGTAAGTTTCCAAGACCAAGCAGTGGGACGAGCGCTTGCTGCTTGCCATCGCAGCAGCCCTCGCTACATGGTTTGTGTCCTTTGACTGACCGCCGTCGTAGAATGTTGTCCCTGCGGCTGTGTTGACTCAACATAGTCACAAGTCCCCCTTGCTTTGCCTGGAGACACTCTCCCCTGCCGCTCCGTTCTCGCATGTATTTGGCAAATCAATGGCTGGCCGGGTGTCATTAAACGTTTGATCGTTTAATGCCCCCACAGCTGCCCGTGAAGTCCCCTTGCAAGCGTCAGCAGCAGCAGCGGCAGCTGCTCCTGGTGAAGTATGTGCTGTGGACATTTCTGCTGCTGTTGCTGTTGCCTTTGCGACTCCTCTCGTTGCTGTTTATCGTTTCGCACTTCCGTTGGTCAACTTCCTGCAGCGATTGGCACAGCAACGACAAGGGGCCAAAATCAATTGGAAATTAATTTCATGCTTTGATTACCGGTTGTGTCGCACGTTTTATGACCTTGAATACGACACATTTGTGTCGTCACCAACGTCCTCTCGTCCTGTTCTCTGTTGCTTGTGTCCTCCGGTTGCCCTGTTGTGGCCTCGTGGCTGTGTCCATTTCCTCACTAAATTAGCCAGGCAATGGCATGAATTGAAACGAATCGACCAGCCATACACTCGCATAGCTACGGGCAGCAACCCTCCGATACATTTGTCGTCTTGGCTCTGTTGCTTCAATTTATCAAACACTACGGCTCATTCGTTCTCGCCGCCTGTCAGGTGGAGCTCTGGTGCGTAGCTCCAAATTGGGCCACTGAGCGGCCACAGCTACGGCTACGTGTGCACCACGTTAATTGAAATGTTTATATGACTTTTTATGGGCTGCCAAAAAGGCTCATTACATTTACGAGATTTCAATGCGCCATTTTCGCCGCATTCGCTGCGCTGATTAAAGCAATTCGCACCAATAACTCGCAGCAGCTAAGTCCTTATGTATATATATGTATATATATGTATGTATGTCGACTATTGTAGTACTTTATATGTAAAAATATTGCAGCAAATCAAGTTTGTCCGAGTTCAGCCGAAAGGACTGTCCCGCTGCGTCTTTCACCTTTTTGCATCCTTTGTGTCAGCAAAAGTTTTCTGCACGTTTGTGCAAATCCATTCAATATGGCTGCCGTTGCCGTTGCCGTTGCCGTTGCACAGGATACTTCGAGGAGCTACTTCTGCTGCTGCTGCTGCTGCTCCTTTGCTCACCTCGGCAACATTCTTAGACTAGCTGCCTGGGTGCCTGGCTGCCTGGTATCTTGCACCTTGCCCTTTGTTGCCGTCTGTCGGCTCATTCGTTTATTCAATGCTTTTCTTCGATTTTGCAGCACAGTTGGATTTTTGCCTTTTATCGCTGGCAATGTGGTGGGTTGAGCAAACGCATTTGAGGATAACCAAAAGGTGCTTTTATATGCTTAATGGAAAATCTAATTTATGACCTATGGCTTTTCTGTTCGTTGCGTTTTCTTTGCCGTCCGCTGCCGTCGATGCCGCAGACATTTTGTGCTTTAGATTTGTATTTGTCCTTTTTGCAGCTGGAGCTGAAGCAGCACCAGAGCCAGTCTATTCTGAAACAAATGAAGATTAATGCGAATCGAATGTGCTGCCTGTGTAAATGCGGACGTCAAAGTGTGTCCATGTGTGTGTGTGTGTGTGTGTGTGCAAGTCCTTGCTGCTCGCTGCTTGCTGCTTGCTGCTATTCAAAAATTAAACATTCCGAATGCATTTATAATTTAAATGAATAACCCAAGCCCTCATTTTTTGGCATCCTTTCGCTTCACTCTTTACTGGCAAATCAAATTGCTAGCCATTTTTATCCTTCAAATGAACGGAAGTTTTTGGCGCATAAATTTGAATGTTCGGATGGTCCCCAGTCGCTGCCTTCAATGGCCAGCTGGCGATGATTATGATGATGATGATGAGCGACGAGCGACGAGCTTAACGCCCACATAAGGCACGCAATAAATTGGCCCAAAAATTATGTTTCACAAAAGTTGCCGCAAATTGCGCAATTCGGCAAAAAGGGCAAACGGCAGCGGCGGCGGTGGCAGCGGCAGCGACGGCAGCGGTCACCGGAGCTGAGCCAGAGGCAGGTGCGACTGCAATGCTTTTGCAATTGACGTCGATTATCGCCCCGAAAATAGTTAGTTTGTTTGTTCAACATTTTCGGCCCTATTTGGTGTTTTAAACGTTATCGAAAACTAACCCAAAACTCCGCAACTATCGAGCGTGTGTGTGTATAAGCCCTTCTATGTGGGCTGCTATATGTGTGTTTTTGTTGCTGTTGCATTGTGCAGTGCCTGCCAAAAGTTGCCGTTGCAATTGCGCTTTTTGTTAGCCTGCTTTGGCCCTGCCTCCGCCCCGCCCCACTGCCAGTTCAATTGGGAGCAAGCGCAGCAATTAAGTGTAAAAATGTGAAACACATACGCTGTGGCATTTTCGGGCCCTGGTGAAGTTGCCACAAACGTTCATGCCACGCGGCTAGCTGCTGCTGCCGCAGATGCCACGCATGTTCCATGGCCATGTCACCTTCTAAACGAAATGAGCAGCAAATTGGCAGTAAATTTGTTTGCTATTTTTCTTCTCTTGTTCTGCTGATGTTCTGCTGCTGCCTTTAGAAATGCAACAGTTTTTGTTTTTGTGTTTGTTTTTGTTGCATTGCAAACGAGTTTGGTGCTGGCAGTGGCCAAATAGCCCTAGGGGCATGCTTGTGGGCGTTGCCTGGTGTTGCAGTCGTTTAGAGCAACACGCGAGCAACGCAAAAACGCATCTCCGTCTGTGCAATGGATGCGCTGCGCGCCGCTCTCCGCTCCCCGTGCAACTTCCACTTTGCCGCCACTTAAACTTGTCCTGTGCGCAAATTTAATTTTTTCGCTGTTTTTGGGCCAACTGAGATTCGGATTACATGGCATTAAGGGGCGGCTCGGAGGGTGGAGGGCGCCTGCTTGTTGCTGCCATTGCATCAGCATCAATATCTGCATCTGCAGCTGCAACTGCAACGCAGTGCTGGCTGCAATAACTGCCCATAACTCGAAATCAAAGCGCAGCGGGCAGCTGGCAGTCGGCCGTTGGCCGCCGGCCGTCTAGGCACTCTGTCATATAGTTGCTGGGAACACGCCCTCCGCTGACCCCAGCCTCAACTGGCTGTGCCAGTGCTCGACGGTGGTCTCTCTGTGTGGACATCATTTACTGCTGCTGCTGACACGCGCTTGAAACCTGCCCCGCTGGGCATTCCGCTGTTCCGCAGGCAACAAATTGTGTGCGCTGTGAAAACGAGCCAAACGCTTTTGTCGGACAGTCGTTGTCGTCGTCGTCGTCGTCGACGACTATCAAAACTATCAGTGCTTTCAGTAATCTTATCGATTCGGGGCCCATTGTTTAGCAGAGCCAGCTGTACAACATAACTAGACAGAGCAGCGCAGACACAGGGCAGCAGGTCCGAGTGTTCCGTCGCAGTAGTCGACCCATTAATTCGCCTTCATGCCTCGACGAGAAGTGAATTTGCTCACAAATCGACTGGCAAATTATAATGTATGGTCGCCCTTTGTAGCTGCGATATAGCTAGGCAAGCGTATTGAATGGCTGGCCCGAGGTGTTGTTCCAACAGATTGCGAAATACTCTCTGCAGCATCCAAAGGGGCGTCACGAAATCTGATATTTAATAAATAATTCCCTCAACGTCTGCGAAAACACGTTCTGTGTTCAGCTTGTTAGCAGGCCATTTTTTATGGTTTATCTTACTCAGTTTTATAATTTGAACATTGAAATTTAAATTGATTGGTTTAATTATTATTTATTGAAATATTTTTGTCTATTTAAATTTATTAATTTGTTTTATTGTGGTTAGAAATAATTTTAATAATATAATAATTTTATAAATTGTATAATTTATATATATATTTACATATTCTTTATTTAATATTATATATATTTCATTATATTTATACTCATGAATTTCATATGATTTTATTTGTCTCCAATAACACGTTAAAGATTTACCGCCAAGTTTAGACCGTTACTTTATGCTTATATTGCCACATCTATAAATTATAATAAGTGATGCCATGCCAACCAAAATACATCAACATTCACAGCATTTAGCTTTGCGTTAAGTTCTGTTATGCGAACAAAAGCTACTTGCTGTAGAATCGAGTTGGAAATATATGTATAAATACATATAATATAGGTATTTAGTACATACGATATACACGGGAAATATTTCTGTAATGTCTACACTGCGGCTTATGTCTTGGCTTATCACGTGAATTGAGTCAATACAACAACCTTTTCTGGAACAAGAGTTATTTGTTGAACTCCACAGTGAACGATATGTTAACAATTGCGTTAAGTTACTCCTCAGCAAAATGCTCCACAATTAACATTTTTAATTCGTTTACCGTATAACTCCACACTGAACGATCTATTAACAGTTGCGTTAAGTTTACTCCTCAGCGAAATGCTACACACTTAACATTTTAAATTACAATAAAATTGAATCAATTTATGAACTTGAGATTATTACAATATGTTTGTTTAGGCACAAGTGGGTAGCTTAATCTTAAACTTCTGCTGGTACTGGCGGCAAAAGTGACCCTCGAAGTTATAGCGAATACTGCTTTGCTCGTAAGGCTGGAAGTTCTGCAAAAGATATAGTGCGAAAAGAATAGAGAGAGGGATGAAGATTGGAAGTGATAGAAGGACTCAATTGTAACTCATCCGTGCGTACATTGTCAAACACAATGCTGGGCACAAAGGATATGCCGAGTGCCAGAGTTTCCCTGCCATAGGGCAGCAGAATGTCGGCCGTCTGGCGCGTGCGCTTGCACTCCTTGGCTGCTGCGACGTCGAGCTTCAGGTGGGTGGCACAGATATCAATGTTGTTGAAGTAGGAGCGCAACATGCAGTAGATCAGGTCAAAGGCTTGCCGCAGCTCCAGATGCTCCAGAATGCAGGCATGCACTGCATTCAGCTCGCACTCCTCGTCCCCGTGCTGGCAAAACACTTCCAACTTTCCGATATTAGTGTTGTTATAGAACTGTCGGGGGAAAACAATTGAACTTGGCTGATCTTTTCAGAGTCTCTGCCACTTACTGCCGCCTTGCCAAAGGGATATAGCTTCAGGTCTGTGCGGTTCCACCAATCGTTGTCCAGCAGCGCATCGTACAGGCGTCGCCTGATAAAATAAATACTATCCGGGCAGAGCGCCTCGTAGTGCACAGCCAGTGGCAACTTGGGCAGTGACGACGGCGTCGGTGGTGGCGGGGTAGACGGCGATGCGGACGTTATTTCATCTGGCAGCTGTGTTTGGCCAGCCGCAATAGATATGAAGAGCGTCACCAGCAGCGGAGCCAACCATTTCACTTGATAAATCATCGCCAATAATCGTCTCACTGATACCTCTCAGCTTCACTGGCAAAACACAACTGTTGCTGCTGCTCACCCACTCAGCCCGAGAGCTCTCCTTCGACGTGAATAGCTCGCGTGGTCCACAATGCTCATGCTGATGCTATTATCTAAGTACAAATACAAATTTCAGTCAATGTGTGCGCGTGCGTGTGCGAATGTAAGTGGGTGTATTTATATTTATGTATATACATACATATGTGTTTGTGTGTCTCTGAGTATGTGATTAACCCATTAAACAATGAAATGCATTTCAAATGAATATTGTAAAATGTATATCAGAGATAAGGAAAGAACATAACACAAAAAGCGAGAGTTTGTAAACAATATAATATAAAAAAAACAAAGATTATATGTGTATAGCTTTTCAGCAATAAATTAATGTTAATAGATTAACCTAATTCTATATATTTTTAATAATTATCTTGCTCCACTTATACCATTATTGTATAAATTAATTAAAATTATTACATTAATACAAGTAAATGGTAGAAAAAAATAAATAAATAGAAATAAAATTTATAAATATTAATAATATAAAATAAAAAAAAAATAATTAAAAGAAAAGGAAAAATTTATAGAAACAACAAAATCATAATTCACAGAAATAAAAAAAATAAAATTAATATAAATCCAATTTAAAAATCTATTTAAATTGTAATAAATTAAGTTGTTCATTTATGGTAATTAATTAATATATAAATTAACAGAATCATAGAATGAGTAAATTCAAGTTCAATATTCTTTAATTAATTTAAAATTAAATTTTGGGAAAATTATGTAGAATAAATTAATTAAGATTATTAAAATTAAATTAAATACCTTTGTCAAAATTATATTAAAACCATAAATAGAAAAATTAATATTAATTTATTATAATATATGTTATTAGATAGTATATAGTATAGGAATATATAAATTTAATAATTGGGTTAATAGAGTTATAGAATAAACTAATGTAAATAAATATATATTAATTATGTAAATACTCTAAAATAATTACCTTAATCCAAAAAAATCAAACACAAGTTGAAAACGAATCTTGGCTGTATTTGACTTATTTCATTTTTATAAATAAAATGTTCTATTTTTAGACTTTAATTAACCCATAAACTAATATTAAAAAATAAAGATCCGAATAGAATGAAAACTTACTTTGATTAAAAATAAAAATGCAGACGCATAAAAAATCAAGTTTGGCTCATTTAAAAATAAACAAAGTTAGCTTTGAATATAACTATTTGTGAATTTGGCAAGGCGTGTGCGGGTTAAGTCGTTTGGCCCGTTTGACGTCAGCTTTTTTAGGTAACAACTTTGTCCGCGTCCAATTATGTGTGGCATTAGCAATGCATAAACAATGAAGACTTCATGCACAACAAGTTCAGTGCACTGTCATGTCGCACCGGCGCTAATTGACAGACAGCTCCATTTTGGATGCGAAGGCCGGCGTAAAGGCTAACGGTTTGTGCGGCACTAACCGGTTCGGTTAGATTCGATTGGATTGGAGCTGCCCACACGCGATATCGCGATATAAAAGGAGCAACTGTCGCTTGCTTGTCGCTGTCGGCTCGAGTGCCATTGACCAGAGTGCCCGACGACAATTTCAATTTCTAACTAATACACAATGGAGCTTTAATTGCCAGCGAATTCTTCAAATCTTCAAATGGCTGCCAGAAGCATTTATGGTGCGTGTTTCATGGCCAAGGCTGGCGCACAAGAATGCCGCATGGCTAGGCCAGGCCAGGCTAATTGTATTGCAACCAGCAACTGGCAGCTGTCCGCTTCCACCGGGAGACAGCCAACTAGCCAACTAGCCAACTAGTCAACCATGCAGCCCAAGACAACATAGCTGCAAAAAGTGACAGTGTTTTATGACGTGCCTTTGCAGATTTCCGCACATTAATTGGACACTCTGTCCAAGTTCGACATCGGCTCGGACGACGACTGTGAATATGATCTGCTGCAGCGCAGCAATTAACCCAAATTGCATTTGACGGGCAATTGGGCGGCAACTCTGAAAACTCTCTGCACGCCCAGGCTGAGGCTGAGGCACAGGCCCAAGCAGAGCTGCAGGCCAACTCACGAATATCGTTTATCTCTCGCTGGTATTGTCTGTCCCAGTTTCTGTGGCTGTTGCTCACTTTTCTACAGTTTCCAATTCCAATTTGCATTTTGTGCTCTTGTTGCTGCTGCCGCTGCTGCAATTTGCATTTTGTTGCCTTGTGTCGCCTGTCTGCATAGACTTTAAGTGCCGTATTCTTTTCTATACCCTGCACACATGTAGCTGATGACAGGGCTAAGATAACTGGCAGGGCATGAAGTTAGTAAAAAGTAAATTAAAACTTCTAGAAACTAAAACTAGTTTCTCTAGTTCAAAGGGTATTGGCTAGTCGTGCCTTGCGCTACCATTCTAACGTCTTATGGCCAGCGCGGTTCTCATTGCAACATTTTAACCGCTAGCGAGCCGAGGCAACGTCGTGATGTTGTTGTTGCTGTTGTTGTTGTTGATCTTGTTTCGTTGCCAAAATAAAAATAAAAGAAACAGTTAAGTCACGGACATTAACCTTTGTGTTGGAAGTCGAACGCGATCGTGACGACATGCGTGTTAAAGTAACCCAACACTTACACACAGCTTGGGAGGTGTGTGCATCATCGATGACTCTCTCCTACATACTTACACATATTGGCCATTGTACGCTTATTAATTGCCTACACAGAACTGCTCAATTTAGTTGTTCTTTTGTTCAGTTGCATTTGTGCGATGCATAATAAATGGTGTTGCACACAGCAATTGCAGATATATAGTCAGAGCAGCTTGAAAGTCCAGTGATATAAGTCAATAATTACATTAATTTGTGAAGACTCATAATATGTTATGAACAAGCTTAACACAATTTCAACTAAGAGTCGATATATGCCTAGCAAGCAAGGCAGTCACCGAACACACAAGCTAAAGATTCTTTATTAAGGGTGTTCCTTATAGGCTTATAACTTTCAGTTCACAGACAATCCATTTAATAGTGACATTTTGTTATAAGCTGTCGAGCTCATTGCTCTCGCCATGATTATAGGCTTATGGCTATACAGTCATATTTAGACACTAATGTCACACAATTTTCTATCTAACAAAGTCCACTTTATTGATATTAAATGCTCAATTTTTTATTTGATTATAAATGAAACTTGTATAGCTCTAATAAAAACATCCGAACTGCTCACAATAATATTTACTTGGCCTGTTTTGACCGCCTTGCATCTGAAGTGTTAAAGGAAATCTTGAATGGCTTGCATGCGGCGCTTTGTGGGTCATGAGAGACCAGTTTCTCTTGGCTTGGAAGGAAGAAATTGCCTGTTGCGCATATCATTTGGAGCAGCGCCGACTTTCCTATCTCTGCGTGTGCTCGGCTCTGGCTTGCGGCAGAAAGAGAGCTGCTGGAGAGATTCACAAGATTTACGAGGGAACAGCCGTTATACGTGATCGTTATTTGTAAGCTTCATGGGACGCGTCCATTGCACGTTTTGGGCCCGTGCCCGAGCATAAGACTCGAGTAATGTGTCCCGTAGTCTTATGCAAATGATGATAGCTGCGCCGCCTCTTTAAATGCCTAATTTCCGCCGATGTCAATTTCTGATTCTCTAAGGCAGGCGAGCGTGAGTGTCGAGACTTATTAGAGACGCGCTGGCATAACGACGCTGTTGCTTGCCTCATCGCAATATTTCTTGGCTGTTACATGATGACTTGCAGCGGCAAGGCTGGCTGTCTCTCGGCTTTCGGTTAGCGTGCAAGCCGCACATAAAAGCGAGAGTCGGCCATTGACGACTTGTGAATGCGCTGCAATCGAGTTGAATGGGAATGTGAGTAGGGCTGTAGCTGAGAGCGAACTATTCAAGAAACCTTTTTTATTGAGTGTTTACAAATTGATTGTATTGTTTGCGAAGCACAAAGTGTTAGCATAACAATGTGCTCCGTCTTTACAGCGCATTATGTTTGGAGTCTTGCTGCACAGGCAACCGCAACCAGCAGAGCTGCAGCTATGACGCCACAGCTCAAATGCACAATGCATTCATATGAAGCTGTTGGGCGGCTGCTTGGGCGCTGCTTGGGCTCAGCTTGTGCTTTGCTCTGCTCCCTGTCTCAACTCTGACATTCATGTCCAGCTGTCGTTAAAGCTTTCGACAGTTTTTGCAATTCTTCTGTGGCACATTAAAGCATTCGCGTTCCATTTATGCGCGTTGGGCAATTGGCAGAACATCAACTTGAATCTGTTTCTCGTTGCCAGACTGAGAACTGGTTCTCATATCTCGGCTGGTAATGCCGCTTGTAGCCCAGTCCAGCTACGTGGCGCATCACTTTTCTTCATGCCAGTCGTTGCCACTTGTTGGACGTTGCAGCCGCAGTGAAAACAGTTAGTTGCGATGCCAATAACCTGTATTATATGGCTGTGTGTCACGTACCCCACCTTCGTTTTATTATGACAGCGTTTCCAAAAACCAAGCAAGCCCATAAATCGTCTGTGATTGTGCAGATAGTGAGTGCAGTGCGTAGCACAACACCTACTAAACATGAGCTAAGCGTCCCAAACTGGCCAAAATGACGCAAGATAAAACGCCTCTGGCTGTAAGCGTAAGCCACCCACATGGGAGATAGCTGCGGCTTATTTATAATTGCCACATTGCTGCCTCGAAAATAGCAGCTGACTCAAATCGAGAGCACTGAAACCTAATCGGAGCACCGACTGATACTGTCTTTTTGTAGGGCACTGGCGCTCGCTCGTTAGCTGTTGCTAGTGTCTTTAATTGGATTTTGAGAGCGCGCAGCGCTGAGCGGACTAAAGATACAAAAGCGTAGCCTGCTCTACATGCTAGACAAATGAAAGGCTAAACACAAATAACAACTTTTTGTACTCTTTATTTGCATTGCCTAAGACAACTATACTCTATTTTTAGCAAATGATGCTAGTTAGTTGTGCGACGCGACATGTAACGAATGAATCGTATGTCACATGGAAGCAGAAATTATTAAGCATGTCTCTATGCGATATATAGTTAGATATAAGCTATAAACAAAACTGAATATATATAGAGTATATTGGTTTGCTATTCGTACGTCAGTGCATCCTTGTCTTGTATCTAACATACGCCAGCTGGGTCGTAGTAACTTGGAATTTTGATTATATATATAGTCCGGCTTACAACGCCTTATATAAATATAACTACGCATATTGAGGGCGTTGCCAATGTTCCAGTGCAACGATAATCAAACATCGCAGTTGAATTACTTGTGACTCAGTTCCCCGATAAAGCTATAAATTATGTGGTCAACATAGATTGTGTATTAAGTGTAGCTAATAATACACCATATGCGGGTATTACGCTCTCAGTAACGCCCGTAGCAAAGTTCTCACTAGTTTTCATATGCCAAAAAGATTTATATTTATATTTGTGAAAAAATGAGTTTTACCTCAAGTAAAATTGTTGGCCCCAAGAAACGATTAATAATATTTAAATAGCTTCTTCTGTAAGCACTCAACTTGTGGCTAAAGTGAAAGCGAGCGTATTTGGTGTTCGGGCAGCACCTTTTCCCTTGCCATTTGTTTGTCTTTGCCAGCAGTGAGAATAACATGCATGAAGCTTTATCGGGCCGGTAAAAAGCGGAAACGCCAAGCAGAAATTTACGAGCAGTGGCCGGTGGCCGGTGGCTTCTTTCGGCAAGGCTAGCAGCATTGAAGCGTTGAGCAACAAGTGGTCAAGTCAGCGTCAGGTTCTAATCACATTAGCACACTGACCAACAATGGGCTATTAGAACAAACGTTCGCTACCCGGCCATAATTTTGCGGCTGTGCAAATACATTTTATGGCCATTCGAAGCTATTGTTTGGCTCGGGCCGGCTTAAAGGTGTTCACAGGCCACGGCCCACGCCAATGAGCCATTGCGCAAGATTTATTGCGCCTCCGGCCAGGGGAATCTTCGAGCTTCGTACATTTTAAGCTAGCTCGCAGAATACAAATTACTTGAAGCTTCCGTTAGAACTAGCAGCAGCTGCGGTAACAGCGGCAATTGCTTTAAGCCAGCCCTGCCGCAAATGTGGGTCTAGGTCGTGCCTGACGTCGCCCGCGGCTACAGCGCAGCCAAGTGTGTGTAGCGAAGTGTGCAGCCGGCTGAGAAATTCTTTGACGTCCGAATTCGGCTGCCAATTCTCAGTCGGTTAGTGTGACACAAATTTTGGGGTCTACGGTCTGGCGAAAAGCAAATTACAATTTGCTGCCAAGTGACGACTTTTGGGGAATGCGACAGCCAAAATACACGCTGATTGTATATGTTGAGGGGCAGCAATAGAAATAGCAACAGCAAGAGCAATTTTTTTGCCTTCTCTGTTTGGCAGAGTCGCCTTTACGCTCCCTCCGTTGGAAACTCGTTTCCGACTACCTTGGCTTTGTTTTTGTTGATGTTGATCACAATTATTTTCAATTAAATGTGGAGAGCATCCCAAAAGCTTTTTCACAGTCTGTTTACATTTTGTACAAGCTAAACAGCTGTTCAACTGAGAGAGAGAGAGAGAGTGGAGGAAAATGAGAGCGAGCGCCAGCGCACGTGAGAGCGCTGTAAACGAAAAGCTAAGCCCCAGCAAAACTTTCGTCAATTGATTGAGCGGCAGCGCAACAACAACACCAATACACACACGCAAACTACAAATACAAGCACAAAGCAAAGCAAAGCAAAGCAAAGCCCACAAACAAAACTCTGAGGCTCGCTACCGAGTCGCAGTCAGTCGTTATCGGAACTTGCTGCCGCTGTCATGTCCGAGACGTAGACGCGCACGGTTCGTTGGCTGCTGGTGGGTTTTTGTCTGCTTTGGGTCTCTGGTCTGGTCAGGTCTGGCCTGGTCTGGTGTGTGTTGTTTGTGCCTTACCTTACCTCTTTTCGTTTACTGTTCGGTTTACGTACGTGCGCGCTCTCTGTCTCCCGCTGACCTGCTCTCCCTCTCCCACTTTACATCTCCCACGCGCGCTCTCTTGACATCGTACATATAATATATTTTATAGTTGGTTATTTTGTTTGTAGTGTCTACGGAAAATTTACTAAAATAACAAAATGTCATCGTATAATTCTGTGCAGTGCATCTATACTTAAAAGTAATATCAATTTTAATTGCCTCTATTAAGTGGGATTGCTGTGAAAGCAAATGAATTCTATCTACATGCCGAGGCAAACAACGTCTAATCATCAATTTATACAGAGAAATCAAATTTCTTTGCTGTGCACCTCAAGTTCACGGCTTCTGCTTCTGCTGCTGTTGTTATTGTTGCTGTTTGAGTTGTCAAAACAACATTTTTCGTTTGTACTTGCGCAAAGTGAAATTATTCGGCGCAGTGAAATTGTTTATGGAGAAAAAAGGGAAAAAATCAATGTACATATATATCTAGCCATACAATATGGAATTCAGACCTGTGTACTCTGAACGTACACCTTTTGTCTGCCGGTCTTTCGCCGCTTTCAGTTCCGTCCGATTGCTCCTTATCATTGTATCTTATCGTTCGTTGTTGGACATGGTGCTAAGCATGGCTGACTGAGTGAGCATGAATGAATGAATGTACATGCCTGTGGTATGTACATAGGTACGGCTATGTATGTACATATGTCGCCAAGCTGTTGTACAAGCCGCTGTTGTTGTGGCTGTGCTGATTGCCTAGTTGTTCAATTTGTATACACATCAAATTGTCTATCTCCATCGTCAGCGCTTGCTGAACGCTGATAACAACGCAGTTAGCTATTTCGTGAATTTCGTTTAACTTTCCAGAATCTTATCTGCTGTCATGACCCGCCCACGACCTGCCAACGGCCACCTTTCGCATTGTACTAAATTCAAACGGCATTGTACGTTGTGCTCTTCATACAGATAGATAGATCAGTTGTGGGTATTTCGCGTGTCCGCGAATAGACATCCGTTTTCACAGTCGTCGCGCCGTTTAGCAAATCATCTGGCAAAATGTCTTCATTTAGCTGAGATCGTGTGCGAATGTAAAAGTTATAATCGCATGCAAATCGCCACAGAAAACAAACGCAAGTGCATAAATAAATAATAATTGTATATGTATATATATGTGTTTTTAATTGCATTTAATTGAAAGCGGAAATACACACACTTACACAGCTTAATAAATGTACAGATGCACAACAATAAGAGATTGTTGCAATAAAAAAGAAATATTAAGTATAATAACAAATAATATATATATAAATATATATAAATAGCGCCAAAGCGAAATAAGCAAAGCAGAAATCAAGTAATAAGTTGAACGCTATAATCAAAGCTGCAATCCATACCGAGTGGTAAGTTTAATCACTAATTAGCTAATTAACTACTTATTTTGTAACGTAGGAATGCCCCTTGTTGATTTCAGGAAATTAATTCCCACCGCCCACGCACACACAGCGCCATAGAAAAACACGGCTAGAAAATCAATAAAAGTATATATCCGACGACGTATAGCAGCGAGTGCCACCCCCCACGCCCCACCCCCCTAAGCCTGACGACGCTTTTCATTAGCAACAGCTGATTGCACAAGTTTGCTGACAAAGTGACCTCCCACCTTTGATCAATACTCAACTCAGTGTCCCCCCAGGCATCAAGCGTCTAACCTTGGCGCGCCTTGGCTCAGAGGTGCGGCAGACGCTGTGGGCGTGTTGCTGTTGCCGCTGCTGCTGCCGCTGCTGCTGCTGCTGTTTGCTTGGCTTGCTTGGCTGGCTTTGCTCTGGCGCCTTATTAGTCGCTCCCCAGACGACGCGACGCTTGCTTGACACACATGACTTACTTTCGCTGGTGGCCCAATGCAGTCCCTTTTCTTTTTCGTTGGCCACTCGAGTGTTCCGCCCATTTGATGTTCTGCTAGCGGGCTTGAGTGGGCAGCACTTGGCTCTCGAGTGCAGCATTTGCTACTTCATCATGTCAATCAATGTTGCTGGCCCCCTTTGTCTCGGCTTGCCACAGTTCGCTTGTCTAATCAGGCCAACATTTAACAACAAACCCACACCAGAAAAATCAGCATTAATGAGAGCTAAGCTTGTTTTGACAAATGCAGCGCCTGCGCCTCGGCAGCAGAGTCCTGTCTTCTCTCTGTCTTTCGCTCTCGACTGAGTTCTCTCAGACGCCACCACGTGATTTTCACATGCTCAGCTGCCAGCTGCACTTTGACTTTCCTTATTTTGCCCCAGGGCGCAAAAACAAAAAAGCTGACTCAAAGCTTCAGCGGCAAAATGCATCGACTGCGAGCTTCTGTTACTGCATCTCAAGTGGATGCGTCTGCAGCGGACACTTGTTGATGTCATTTTCCCAAGATTTATTTTTAACACAAAACTATCTGCTGATATAGCAGACATATTTCAATGCACATAAATACAGAGCAGCTGTAAATCACTGTGCCAAATCGACGCTAATTTTAGCATACAAGTTTGCTTACCTGCGGCCACTTGATTTTAGCCAGGTGCACTTTCACTCAGCTCGCTCGCATTCTAAAGTGAAAGGAGCTACTTACACATAGGTAAGCTGATGCTGCGTGTGCTTTCTAAACGACGATGGCCACTTACTCTTGTGCTAACAACAAAGCAGTTGGCAACGAGAGTGCCACTCACAGAGCACACGCAGGAAGCGAAGATTTTATCGCGTATCTTTTACGACTACACAGCGCCCACACCACGCACAGCCTCAGACTGACCGCTAACATTCTATTTCAATTAGTGTAACTGACCTATGCCATTTGCTGAGGCCTCAACATTAATCAGCACGTTTTCAGCACATTGTTCTGTGCATTGGCCTTTTGTTTATGCCCACAAAAACTGGCCGAACATACGGCCTGTCCATGGCAGCAGCAGCACCAGGCAGTAAACAATCCAATGTCTAATATATTTGGTTTGGCCGAAACGTCGACATTTACAGCAGCAACAGCAACTGAAATATCAATAACATCAGCAACAGCAACAGCAACAGCAATAACAACATGAAATATAAAACTTTTACTCCTTGAATTTTGTTTCCAAAACATTTGATTTTTAATTTGCTATTTATTATTGTAGTTAATCAATGTGATGTGTTTTGCATACGCCTCCAGATCATAGAGGAATACTTGTTTTTATATATCATTGATTTTTTATTAACTATCATATTTTGTATTAACTATTTCTATATCATTGATTTTTTATTAACTATCAAGAACATGCCAGTGGGCGTTCCGCAGGCTTATCTTATCTGAAGCATAGATAGTAATTAAATGTTCATTATTGATAATATACATATTGTATATATAAATAGAAAGTAATATACTTTAATGGTTATTTTGTTGAGCTAACTTAACAAGACTTTCAGTCCTCAGTCTCTCATTGTCGAGGGGCACAGGGAACATTTTGAAGTGCAATCGTTGATCGCTTAATGTAATTTTAATATATTGTAATTTCATTAATTTAACAGTCTTACTGTGAATGTAAATATTACTAAATTGAGTCGGAACCTGGCAATTTTCAATCATGCAACTCACGCCATATATCATCTTCCCAGCGGCTCATTCAATGTGTCTGTAACTGCCGCCAATTTCCATTGCATCAATCATATTTAATGCACTTTGCGGTTATTTGATTGCATTATTTTTGACGGGCTGCCCGCTATTTTGATGGAACTTTTAAAAGCTTAGTAATAAATACATTCACTTGCACACGGGCATCACGCACACAGTTGACATTGATGTTTGATGATGTCGGTGCCACAGCCAACTGAAGGCCCCGATTACCGTTAACTGCTTAATACCCATAGCCGCCCTACCTCCCCAACTGCCTGCTATCAGACATTCGATGTCTTTTTGTTTATTCTCTTCGATGAGCCGTTGTTTAAGCAAATACAAAAAAATGCAACTACGCAGAATGAATATAATTTAAGCATGAGGCGAATACAAATAAATAACTCGTTAAATATTTATTTTATTTTATTTCTTATCTTCTTTTTAGTCAGCCACTCGGATTACACTTAAAAGCAATTTTTGTCAATTATTTCGCAATTTATCATAAATTTTTGTTAATTTTGTATTTTGTGTCTGCTTAAAAGAGCTTTATTTTATTTTTTTATGGCAAGCGAACTTACAAAAAGCCCCGTTTAGTTGTCAGGATTTTGCATAGATGGCGTTGTGAATGGAAAGCTTTGGCAGGCAACTGGCTCGACGAAAGCTCCACAAAAATCAGTTAACCTGTTGCACTCAGTTAACGTTATCAATATATTGTATATGACATCAGCTTTGCACTTTCTTATCAGCGACATGACTCGGATAAACAGCAGGCTGATTAGCTGATAAGGGGCATAAATTCTGAGTTCTCTGTCCCCATTGCAGTTGCATTTGAAAAGTTATCGTGTAACCACTTGAGCACATACACGCTCGTTTACAAACATATGTACTAGATGTACTTATGTCAGTGCTCGAGACATCGCGTGGGCTGTGAACGTGCGCACCAACAACAATAGATGAAGTGAAAAAAAAAACAACAAAATACAATAAAAATAATAACTGAAACAACTGCCAGTAGAAAAACAACGACGAACCGACGTTTGGCATTATAATGAATCGACTGCAATGTGAGCAAATGTCACGTTTATGAAAGAGCAGCAGCCCGTTTTCGGCTCGCGTTTGTTTTGGAGATTGAAATAGTCTCGTATTGGCAGAAAATCTCATAAACAATAGAAACAAAAGGCAAATAGCAATCGCCAATTGTCGATGTTAAAAAAATGCGCACAAATTTGGTTTGCTGTGCAGCAGGAAATGAAACATTGCAAGCGATATGTAGGTGGGCAGCCGAAAGCAAACCGAAACCCCAAAAATAAATGACGTGACATCAAAAAACAATATACAATATGCAATAACACTACACATTATACAAAGCACAGTGCCAACCAAATGTAAACTACAGCGAAACGTGCAGGCCAGTTGTTTGCATAAAATTTAAATGGTAGAGCTAGCAGGAGCTATCTACCTCCTATAGATACAGAAGCAAGATATATTTATGTATTTATATATATATTGGCATTGGCATCAGAATCAGAGTGACATAAAAGTGATCAGCTCGAGTTGAGCGCTAGAGTTCATCAGCATAACTTAATTAAGCATTCGAACATATTCGTTTCTTTATTCGGGGGATTTTTTTTGTATTCTAAAACTTAATATTTATTGTGCAGCTAAGTAAAGTTGTGACTAGTAATCGGTTAAGAATCTTGTTGGTATTCCTTTCGAGAAACCGGTTAAGCGCTAAACGGCTTTTACAAATCTCCAAATGTATTTAAACAATCAGCTCTGGCGTTCTACATAAATTTGCATATTTTTTAAGTCCGACTTCAGAAAAGATGCCAACCAAGTTTAGTTACTGTTGCAGACGCGTTCGCAGCTGACATGAAGAAAAGAAAGAAAAACAAGAAAACTACAAAAAACATCAAGAAAAAACAGCCAAAAACTGTGTCAATGAAATTTCGAGCATTAAATTGCAATGGTCTCCGCACTGCTGTCTGCTGCCTGCTGCTTGCTGCTTGCTGTGCGTTGTCTTTGTTTGGCTTCGTAGCCAACTTTTTGATACCCTTCCAAGGCAAGGCGTCAACGTGGACAGCGTGTTGGACATGGTTCATATTTTAAATTATAGCTGCAAGCAGTTGTGGCTATCAATTTTATAAACTTTCATTTCAAGCAGATCCAAATCTAACTAGAGCACAATTGAGTTGCGTTGGCCATAACGTGGCTTTAACCTTTTTATTTCGCGTGAATCACAAACTCGTTTATGTTTGTAGGCTGCTTAGATGACCTCCCTCGATGGGCTTGCGAGTGTATATACATATATTTATAAACAATTAGCTTGTAGCATTTAGATTTTGTTTGGATATGAGCCAGTCGCCTAAGCTGAAAACAAGTTAGACAAGTCGTCAACATCATCAGTTTATTAAACGTCGCACGCCCTGAAGACTCTACATGTATTCTCTGGTATTAAATAACTAATTTATTTAATATTTAATTAGTATGCAAAGCAACGCATCGCGCCTTAGAGACCAGGAAGCCGCAGCACATGCCAAGCGGTTGGGGTGTTTAGCGCTAACCAGCTCGGGACTGCTTTGTATTCTTTGCTTGTTGGCCTGTTACATTTTGTTGTCTCATAGCGCACTTGGCATTTGCTTTGATTGCAGTTGGTTGCGATTGCCTTTCCATGGCTGTGAGTGGGCATAGCCAAGCTTTGATGATGATATTTATAAGCTGCAAAGTGGAAAATATTTCCGTTGCATTTTACGACACGACTTAAATCGGACGTTGCTCCCATTA